CCAATAAATTAACTATTTAAAATCGAACACTGAATTTTTTGTAACGAACGATTAAAATCGATCACATTCGTTTTGAGAATTTCTAAAGCAGAAAGCTTTCAATGAATACAGCAAATGTGTACTTTTTCATGTCGACTTTATGTCGTCCTTCGATGAAATATTCAGTGAGTGGTTTGGTATTACTCAAACACTGGATAGCACTATTCATATAGCACGTATTACCCATGTTGTAAATACCAGTGACACCATTATGAGAACTCGTCGGTTCACCTTCACTCTCGCTCGATTCTGAATCACCGTTCGACGACGTCTCCAATCGTGATACTTCCTCAGGCCAACTCATATCCGCATTTCGCAACTCCAGTAACAACTTAAATTCATTTCTTAGTTCGCTGATAATTTCAAGAGAACAAATTCATCTCTTTGAATTCGTTCTTTTGAAATCGTTTTCGATTAATGATCAGAATTGCTTTCAAAAAGATCTCTGATACCAGAATGACGACATTTTGTTAGCATAAAGTGAATGGAATTTCATTCAATTGATTGTGATGTAACTGAGCTGAATTAGATTTTGCTCAGTGTTGGATGGAAAGCAATAAACTGGTTCGGTTCTCAATGGATGACAACAGTTTAAACTGACTCCTTAAAAAACCAAAATAACCAACAAGAAGGATGCAATCAAAGAAAACTGGTGAATGTGATCAAAACAATTCGACCATTCAATGACCTGAGCAAAATTTTTGATTTTCAAGTTGTGCAAAGTGGTGGTGTCTTTATCGAGTAATTTTCGTGACTTCCTCCCATCCACTTCAACAGTCCAGAGACGAGCTGAGTCGGTATCTTGGATGCGCAACTGATTTATCAGTAAACTCAACACATCCGCTACTGTACTACTCCTTGACAAACACACTGTACACCACGGTGACTGACGTAACGATGATCTTACTGAGGCATTATTCCACTCTAAAATTTTGCAGCTTAAAGTTCGGTAGCAAAAACATCTTCAGCAACATAAATCAAAAAAATTAAACAGGAGATTATAAATTTCAATATAATCGATTCCCAAACGAAACAAATGAAAGGATGCAATAAATTTGTTTTTCTGCAAAATCGGGCCATAAAAATGAAAATATTTTGATAGAGATCGCTGACACTTCAAGCATACGTTACAAATTAGATCTAATCAGGGAGAAACGGCATTTCAAGCACTGAATGTTTCTCCTTAGTATAAAAAAAGGAGAAATGAATGCAAAAACCTACCAAAAGCAGACTGCAACCAACTGC